TGTCTCATGGCTTCTCATTTATGGAAAGTATAGTGATAGAGTACTGGGGTTTACCATATCCAGATGTGGGGGTATAATACAACATACATTCCTGCTTCCAAAAAAAGATGGACTCCCAGGGAAACTGTTGGAAATGTGTAGACAATGGGATGTGGGACTGACACTGACTGTACCAGCATTGTCGGGGCACACTTAAATAAGAAACTGACAAAATTATGTCTCCTTATGAAGTACTATACTATCGTAGCAACATGGGGAAATTTTGTCGGGGGCTAGGAGTTTGTGGGGGAATCCCAAATTAAAAAAAAAAAAGAATTCTGCCATAGGGGCTGGCATGGTGGCTCATTTGGCTAATCATCTGACCTGCAGTGCCGGCATCCCATATGGGTTCTGGTTGGTGTCCCAGCTGCCACACTTCCAATCCAGTTTCCTGCTTACAGCCTGGGGAAGCAGGAGAGGATGGTTCAAGTGCTTAGGATCATGCACATACATGAGAGACCTGGTGGAAGCTCTTGACTCCTGGCTTCAGATTGACTCAGCTGTAGCCACTGTAGCCATTTGGGGAATAAACCAGGGGATGGAAGAACTCTCTCCTTCTCTCTCTTTAAAACTGCTTTTGAAATAAAAAGACATTAAAAATAATAATTCTAGGACCTGGCACAGTGGCTCAATTGGATAATTCTCCCCCTTTAAGTGACAGGACCACATTTGAGCATTTGAGCCCTGGTTCATGTCCTGACGGTCCACTTCCTGTCTAGTTCCCTGCTTCTGGCCTGGGAAGGATGGTCCAAAGCCCTGGGATCCTGCAACCACATGGGAGAAACTCCTGGCTCCTGGTTCTGCATTGGCTTAGTTCCAGCCATTGTACCATTAGAGGATTAAACCAGTAGAAACTAGATCTTTCTCTGTGTCTGTTTCTGTAAATTTACCTTTCCAATAAAAATAAATAAATCTTTCAAAAAAAAAAAAACAACCTCTTTTAAAATTCTGCTGCAGGGTTTCTTGTCCACCGATGTCATTTTCTGCTCTCCCCACAAGGCCCTGCTGTTGGTGACCCCTTCAGAGTTATTCAGTCTTGTCCCATATTTCCTGTCAAATTAGTGGGAAACAAAAAGTTTTAGGCTGCTTGCACAGGACAAACTGCACCCAGGAGAAAGCACAGATGCTTTCCCAATGGAAAATCACCAGCTTGCTCAGTCTCGACTCCTGGCACCAAGTCTTGGGTGCCTCATCCGTGAACAGGCTTCTCCCCACTTGGCTTTCTCTGCCAGTATTCTGGCACAGCAACAGACAGGAAGCTTAATTAGAAAGAAGTGTTTTACAGGAACCAGGAGCACTGGTGGCTTCTCAGACAGTGACAATCACATCTTCAGCTGCACCCTTGGTTGACAGCAGTTCTATCAATCGCATGGGGATATGCGCATCCCAATGTGGTACTGTGAAGGCCAAGGGGTACCTTTTCAGGGGAATCCTCAGGCACTACAGAGACTTGAGTGTAGTAGGTCTTCAGGTTTCCAAGAGTTCCCCTCATCTTCTGGGCTCTCATGCTGTTGGGCTAGGAAGAGGCCTGCTCATTTTATTTATGACTAAGGTCCTGAGTGTGTGCACTACGAAGTGACAAACAGGGCCCAGCATGGTAGCCTAATGGCTAAAGTCCTCGCCTTGCAACTTCTGAAATCCCATATGGGTGCCAATTCCTATCCTGGATGCTCCACTTCCCTGCTGTGGCCTGGGAAAGCAGCAGAGGTTGGCCCAAAGCCTTGGGTCCCTGCACTCACATGAGAGACCCAGAAGAAACTCCTGGCTTCTGGCTTTGGATTGGCTCAGCTCTGACTTTTGTGGTCATTTGGGGAGTAAACCATCGGATGGAAGAACTTTCTTATCCTCTGTAATTCTGACTTACCAATAAGAATAAAATAAATCAATCTTTAAAAAAAAGTGACAAACAGCTAAATTTTTTTTTTGTATAATCAATATTAGCTACTTAGAAAATCAAAGTAGGATCTGGAGTGATGGCTGTGGCTAAAATTCTCACCTTGAACAAACTGAGATATCAAATGGGCACCAGTTTGTGTCCCAGCTGCTCCATTTCCAAATTAGCTCCCTGCCTGTGGCCTGGAAAAGCAGTGGAGGACAGCCCAAACCTTGGGACCCTGCACCTGCACAGGAGACCCAGAAGTAGTTCTAGGTTCCTGGCTTAGAATTGGCTCAGCTCCGGCTATTGTGATCACTTGGGAAGTGAGCCAGCAGACAGATCTTTCTGTCTCTCCTCTGTAAATCTGCCTTTTCAACAACAACAACAACAAAAAAGCAGAAGAATACTAAAGCACAGGTATATGGTTTAAAAAGCATTTGCTGGCATGGAGGCATAGCTGAGATGATGCTTCGGATACCTGCATCCCCAAACTTCATATCAGAGAGCCTGGGATCAAATCCCATTTCCACTTCCAATGCAACTTCCTGCTAATGCATCTGGGAAATAGCAGACAATTGTCCAAGTACTTGGGTTCCCTGGCATCTATATGAGAAGTCCAGACAGAGTTCCAAGTGCCAGGGTTTGGCCTGGCCTAACCTCAGCTACTGTGGGCATTTAGGAACGAGGAAGCAGCTACAGGGATAAAAAAGTATCTGGAAAGGATGACAAGGAGGGTGGGGCAACAGCTGTTCAGTCAGTGGCTAACATGGGTGGGTGAGTGGCACTCAATCCTGCAGATTGAGTTATGGGGCTCTGCGGCCCTCAGGGAGCTACCACCTGCAGGTTCCACTGGTCAGGCCACTCCTAGGGGTCACAATTCTGAGCACTTCTAGCCCAGGAACCAACCCCCCCCCCCCCACCTAGACACCAGAGAGGACTCAAGAGGCAGATGCCAGCAGCTGGGAAACAGCTGACCCCACACAGAAGCAGTCTAGCTGGGAAGATGTACCACACCCGGTTCTGGGGAACGGGTTATAGCAGGAAGCACACTGGGGGGAACTCTTCCCTTGGGAGCAGCCTTTCTGCTAGAGAGATGATGACAAAAGGGCAGGGGCAATGTGCAGGACAGCCACAAGGACCCCATGGAGAAAACTGGGCAGAGCAGGCAGTGCTAGAGAGGCAAAGCAGCTGGATACAGTCGGCAAAGCTGACTTCATAGAGAGGATGCTGTATGGGAAGCAAGCAGAGCCAGGCAGGCACAGCATGGTTCTCCTGGTGGGGATATTCCACATAAAGGATATGGCAAGGGTAAAGGTCCCGAGGAGCAAACATGCTGAGGCTGATGAGGTTGGGAAGGAGCACAGCAGGAGAACCAGGCAGAACCTCACTGACCACTGGGCTTGCCTTGGGCTCCCCCCCTGCAATGAGGCCAAAAGCTGGAAGAGCTGAAGTCTGGTAGGGTCACTGTAGCGGCCGAGCTCAGACTGGACTACAAACAGGTGATGGCAGAAGCAGGGAGGGCCTGAGGAGGTGACTGGGAGGACCAGGGAGGCAGAGGTAGAGAGAAGTGCAGTTCATCTAAGAGTACTTTTGGTGTAGCTGAGAGGATCTGCAGACAGACCGGCCATGGAGTGTGAGAGAGAAGTCACCAGATTTGGTGTGAGCAACAGGGAAATGGAGCTATCTTTTCCAGAATCAACAAAGAACTAGCCAGAGCAGGTTGGGTGGGGGAGATTGGGAGCCTGGCTTTGGGCATACCAAGTGAACAGACATGACAGGAGGAAGCTGGAGAAAGTTCTAAAAGTCAGGGGGAAGCACAACTGGGTACAAACTGGAGAGTTCATGGCACAGATATGGGAGTCTCCCACAGGAGCAAGCTAGACAGGAAGAAGTCTGGGACTGAGTCCTGCACAAAAGAGACTGGGAAGGGGCTGTGGAGTATGCAGTGTTCTGAAAGCCAAGTGCAGGAAGTCCTTCAGGAGGCAGGCAAGGTCAGCTGCATGGATGTGTCTGTGTATACACACACACACACACACACACACACACACACACACACACACACACAGAGTCTCAGATCAACATATTGTACCATACAGATGGAGACCTTGAGGTGTTGCCCTCTAAGTGCTCCATGGGCTGTGTCTTCCAGCATTTTAAGGTTGTGTCAGAATTCACCACATGCACGAATCACAAATAACTTTTCTAGATTACACAGCAAGAGGCATCCTTCCCCACTTGTGAATCCACTTCCTTGAGTCAGACCCTGGGATGAGGCTTGTATGTGAGGATGTGGGATGCTTTGATTTTAGACTCTTTCCTGGGAAGCATGACTGGTCAGACATACTGAATCTGCAATGCAGAGGTACCATGGGGATATCATTGCAGGCACAACCTCTGCGACAGGGAGCTTCCTGACTCCAGGGAAGGCTCCAGGTGACTGTCTACATGGGTGCTGTGAGCCATTGCTAGAAGACTGCATCCAGTCAGCAAGGCCCCCACCAAGGGCAGTGCCAGGATGAGCTCCAAGCCTGCCCACCCGGGCTGTGGGTGATTTCTGACGGAAAGGACTAGTGAGTTTCCACTGTGGGCAGAACAGCTTTGTAGGCCTCAGGGGCTCCAACTGAGCCACCAGGAGTCTGACGTCACAGGCTGAGGCAGCAGACGGCGGCAGATGTGCCTTATGCGAAATGATTGTAATTAACTCAACCCTTTGTGCACATGCCGGCCGATCTGTCATGCTACTGTACGGACAGGCTGGCTATGGTGCTGGGGCGTCTTCCCTTCACCTTGCTGTTGGAATGAAGGTATGAGTCCACTGCGTGTGTGGGCACAGCCTGAACCTTGGTCTGGACAGCATCAGCCAGCCAGCCTGCACACTCAGCAGCAGCCTCAACAATAATGCCTCCTACCTGCCAGGCAGCTGACTGCCAGCCTCGGCTGTCTTCAGGGGCGACACACTTAGTCCCATTCCCCCAGGAATGCCAGATGATTAGACACCTGATTCAGGAAAAAAAAAAAAAAAAAGAAAGACAAGACACAGAGGCCAGATCCCCAGTCCTGTGTATTCCCTAACAGATGCACAGCATTGCCTGGACCACAGACACTCCTCCAGGGACAGTGACTGCCCTAGGATGGCTCTGAGCCATCACCAGAAGCAGCCCCCGCAGCATGGGTCTGCCAGCCTCATCAGCTCCAGCAGAATGTGGGCCTCTGCCCTGTGACATCCGTCCACCATGACAGAACCCCAGACCCACATACCCTGAGGAAGCTGCCAGCACAGTCTCCCTCTACTGCAGCACGGAGGTTGAGGGGGCAGGGAGGAGGATGGTGGAGGGGAGGTTTGCTGCATGTTTTGACAGAACAAAGTTCCAGGCAGAGAGCAGGTGGATAGTGCTCATGGCTGCTATGGTGTAACTCTCCGTGAGAAGCCACAAGTCACAGTCAGGAAGTTTCTGTGTTTACAGTCAGGACCTGAGGAGTGGACAGCCCTGCTCAGAACGCCACGTAGTAGTGCTCCAACGTGCTGACCACGTCACTCTGGTCCTCCAGCAGCTCCAGCACCCGCTGCAGCACAGCCTCACTCAGGTCCACGCTGAGATTCAGGCGAGCACAGGCCAGGATGTGCCGCAAGTGGCAGCCCTTCTCCGCAACTGCAAGGACAAAGGGCAAGGGGCTCAGCTTGCATACTGGCATCAGGCCCTGATCCACACCTTCTGACTCGGCACCTGCACTGACAGGATCCTCAGAGGGTTCCTCTGTGCATTTGTGTTTGAGATACCCTGGTCTAGAGGCTCATAAAAACAGACCCTGTTCTCAGGCCCCTTTTGTCAGCACGGCCACACAGGCCACTGCTTGGGGATGCTGACCTTAACCCTCAGAGGGTCCTGAGTGATGACTTCCTATGCACAGTCCTGCAATTCCAGGGCTTGATGGGCATTTTTACTCTGTGCAGTGACACGCCAATGTGCACGTGATCAGTGATAAGGCCCCAGTTGGCCAGGCTGCCCTGGTGGGAGAGACTTCTTGCCTTGGGCCTCTCTCTTTCCTCCCTGCAGGGCTTCCAACAAGTCTTGTCCAGCAGCTGTACCCAGGAATCTCTTATCCTCTTCCCAAAATTAAGACTGCTGAGGATATATGCTCAGAATGATCAAACTTCAGTCAGTGACCTCTGCAGAGAGGACTCAGTCATCAACATGCTTTTTCTTACCACACAGGCCAAAAAAGGATGAGCTTAGAACACTACAGAATGCACTGCATTATAAGTCTGATTTTGTGAGACTTTCATTATGTATACACACATATACATACTATGCATTAGAATTCTGCAATTTGTTGGATCATGATGTAAAAAGCATTTCTAACACTGAACCAAACTCAGGTGCCACTGGTGGAAGCAAGTCTTCTCCAATTCTTGCCCTGCCAAACTCCCTGCCAGAGCAGCCTGGCTAGGCCTCTCACCATCAAACCCCAGCACTGGGCATCTGAGGTCACCAAGTACTGTTTTCAGATAATTAACTGTTTAGGGCTCCACAAAGGTCTGGTTTGAGGTCCAAGACACATTTTAGCCTTAGGGAGATCACAGAGTCCCCAAGCTTCAGTGTTCTCCCTTAACAGGGGGAGGTTAGCTGGAGGCACAGAGAACTTCTCAGCCCTGGCTTACAGAGATGCTAAATTACGACCTCTAGTGGCAGCATGCACTCACTACTCCTCTGGACCAATATTCTTGGTCTCATCTCTAAAGACTTTTCTTCACCATTACTTGATAGAGATTTCTGAACACCTACAGTATGCAGAGCACTGGGAAAGCAGATGCACATAGAAAGGACAGACAGCCGAAACTGAATCTGAATATGAGTCCTGGTTTTATGACTGTGAGCAAAGTGGGGCTAAAACGACACCCTTCACCTGGTGGGGAGTAGATAGAAGAGCCATGGCAGGTAAAGCTTAGGAACCACTATGATTCCATCTTCATATTCATTACCCGGTCCAGGCACTAGCCAAGACTGGCTTTACAGAAGTGTCTCTCCTTCCTGGGAAACAGACAAGCAGGGAGAGCCACAGGGCTGAGGGCAGAGGTCAACACATCCTGCCACACACAGTGTAGGGGTCACCATGTACTTCAGTGCTGCTTCCCTTCCACCTTAGATGTCCTAAGTCCTGAGTGCTTAAGTTCACAGGCACACTTGGTGTTTATTAGCCAAATCCCTGGGATTTATGCTAAAAGCTATTCTGCTGTCTGAGGATTGTCTGGTGAAACTGCTTGAAAACTGACATTCCAGTCACACAGGAAATATCAACAAGGGCTCTTCTTGGGATGGGAAATGATTACACAATAGGACAAGCAGTAGAAGCCAGTGAGCTCCCTGCAATGGCTGTGGCAGTCTCACTTGACTGCTGCTGGGACAAGCTGGGGTCTCCACAGAGAGCAGAGGACTCCAGCTCTGGGAATAATAGTCACCGTGCCTTCCACTTTACAAGTATTTTTACATGAATCTCATTGGAAGAAGCCAAAGAAGCTAATATTCTGAAACTCAAATCATATTAAGATAAATCTCAGATGTGATTTAACTCCAAAAGACCATGAAATCTGAGATAATTAATTGAATATTTAAAAATAGTGAATAAGGAGAATGCTCAATGTTCCAACACAAAGAACTGACAGCTCTGAGGTGACAGACACACTAACTGTCCTGAGCCTTACACACTGCATACACAGACTGAAATGTCATGCTATACCACACACAATCACCATCTGTCAACTAGAAATATTTTTTAAAAGGCAAAAAGATCACTTTAACATTTTCCTAAAAAAAAAAAAAGCCTATAAATAGGTTGAAAAAACCCCACTCTAATGTGTGTAGTACTGTATTATATTCAGTTTTCACAAAATGCAGTTGTACCAACCAAAGCACAGAATAAATATGAGCTAGACACATATGGGCTATTAAAAATTTTCTCTTACTGTTTTCAAATTTATTTAAGACAGAAAAAGAGCCTCCATTGACTGCCGCCTTCTCCAAATGCCCTGGCTGGTCTGCAGCTGGGAGCTTGGAATGCAATTTGGGTCTCATGTGGGTGTCTGGAGTTAGAGGCGGGTATCAAACCCATAAAATCTGCTATGGTCTTCAATCACTAGCCTAAACCTCACCTTTTCAGAAGCCAATAGTACAAATAATCACTCAGTAAAATACTGCTATGTTCATTTCCTTTAATTGAAAATGATATGGTGAGAGAACAGGGGAAAGTTCCTATGCTTAGAAAGTGCAACCTAAACTTTTTTTCACTAAATCCAGGTAAAGGGTATACATCTGTTTGCTATACCAACCTTTCAACCTTTTTATGGGTTGAAACATTTTCAGAAGAGTCAGAGTCAAAAGACGTCTCTGGGGGCTTGCATTGTGGCACAATGTTAAGCTGCCACTCATGCCAGAGTCCCCTGAGAGGTTCATTTTAACTCTTGGCTGATTTGCTTCTAATTCAGCTCCCAGCTTCTGTACTTGGCAAAGTAGCAGAGGATGACCCAAGTACTTGGGTTCCTGCACCTGTGTGGGAGACTTGAATGGCGTTTCAGGCTCCCATACAGCCTAGTCCAGCCCTGGCTACTGTGGGCTTTTGAGGAATGAACCAATGGATCTGCCTTCCAATAAATAAATAAATAAGTTAGTTAGTTTTAAGAAGAAATATCCAATGTGGAACTCGTTTTGGAAATCTTTCATAGTTACAACCACACGTAAAGCCAAAATCCAGATTGCTTTAACTTTAGCTTTCATAATAATTGTGCAAAAGGCTCACATAGATTATATCTGTATCTGCTTCCTTGCAGATTAATACTGAACGAAGCAGTGGGGAGCTGCAGCCTTTGGGCCTCCAGCCTAGAGAGTCAAGGCTATTACCTGGGCCTTTAAGAAATAAGTTTATTTTGCTTAACCCTTTCTAGCTCCAGTAAAATGCTGCATTTCATCTCACAGCTTTATAAATCCTAATCCACTGACTCCGATAACCCATCACACACAAAGAACCTGAAATCTGAGGCCCAATACCTGTCCAAGGTCACAGAGCTACTGAGTGGCAGAGCTAGGGTTCAAACAAGGGTCCTGCTTCTCAAGACCAGCTCTGCTCGGTCCTTCAGCTCAGTTACTATTTTGATAAAGTTTAGCCTTTGCTGAGAAGGAATTTGTAAATGATTAAAGATGCCAAGTTCACCTACCCACCATCTTGAGAAGGAAAAACTCAAGGCTCTCTACTGTGTGAATGGTTAGAAATGGGCTAAAGGTCCAGATGAGATGGTTGAAGAAATGGTCAAGTGTTACACTATTCATAGAATAGAATACTGGGTAGCTGTCAGTGAGACCTAGATAAGTGTATGGGCACTGCTGCCAGGTGGCCTCTAGAAGCCGTTGTTAGATTTAAAATACCAGCTGTGGAACAAGAGGTACTGCATGCCAATACTTACTTACCACACACATATGTTTGTAAGTACATGCAGTATTTCTAGTAAAATGTGGAAGAAAGTAGTAACCACCGCCACCTTCAGGAGCGGAACAGAGCCTGGGTCCAGTGCTGTGAGTCTGCATTCTCTGTGGGCATTTCTGCACTGTTTGGCTTTTTAAAGACATGTATGCATTGCCAATCATCTTCACTCCCTAATGCCATGGATCCGGGCATTATGAAGACAGTGGTCACAGCCATCTTCTGAGAGGGTCCTGTCAGTCTTCCATTGGTATACTCACAGACTTGGGCTTCAGAACTCAGCTCCAAGGAGTTCATGGTGTGAGTGATGGGTTCACAGCTCTCAGGCTTCTGTTTAGACTAGCCACAGGGCCTGGCCACTGGGACCATACCCTGGCTTCAGCAAGGGCTGGTCAGCTGGATACTACACTGCCACCTTAACTACTCCAGGCCATGGTCTCCTGAGAAACAAAGTAGGGAGTTCCTTTCACTCATCCCCTACCTTCAGGATTCAGGCTTTCAACCATCTTGTCTTGGTGTTGATTAAAATGAAAATCTGGCCAGGAACTGGGACTGAGGGGAGAACATCTCCCATCCCTTCTTGGCTGAGGATTCCATGCTGCATGGCTCTCCTGTGTGTGGGTAGCATCGACTGACTCTCAACTTGCTCTTACTCTTCTGACTGAAGTGAACTTTTATGAAAATAACAGTGTGCCCTAAGTTTGTTTTAAGGCACCTTGTCACACTATTGTGGGATCCGAGTTCATCACATTATAAACACCAGGGATAGCCTGGTCCCCACCCGTTGACTCATCCTGGGGCAGGTCCAGGCTTGGGGAGAGGGAGGGTAGAGGGAAATGGGCTGAAAGGACTGCAAAGCCCATTAACAGATCTATCTACTTAATTTCTCCTATCAATCATGTATTGTGCAATACTCATTGTTAGTGTATGTTTGCAGAAGGTGGACTTTGAAGTCACCTTTAGGACTGGTGGATTTAAAGATAGGACTAATGTGTTCTGTTCCTTCTAACTAATGTGAAAATGGTTGATGCTAGAGTAGTTGCAGTTTGCAAGTCTAGCCACTAGGGGCTGATCTAGTGCCACAAAAACTATTATCTGAATCATTTCTTTTGTAAATTATTAGTTTCCAAGACGACTGAATGACACCATTCACCAGAAGGTCTTGATGACAGGACAGGGAAATGTGATGTGTACACGAACATGGGACAAGCATAGAACATGAAACAACACAAGTCAGATAAGACATGACAATGAGAAAGGCATAAGATAGTCTGGCACAGTGGCCTTCCTCACTGTCAGCATCACCAGAGAAGCCTGCCTCTCCAGCCCTCACCCTAATCCCTACAGAATCAGAATCCCCAGGGGAGGAACCTGGCCACTACATGCTTGATGGAGCTCCACGGCTGACTCTTATGTGCAGCCCAAGTCAAGACTGGCTAGGCTAACCTTCACTCCAGAGAGGGCAAGGACCTCAGCCACTACCAGACCACATGATCATTGCGAAAGCCCCCAGCATGCCTGCCCCTGCATCCAGCACTCTCACAGAAGCAGTGTCCCCTCGGCGTTGTACAACTTACGGTGTGGCTTCTGGCAGTCTTCGCGGATGATCTGGTGGATCTTTCTGTGCAGATCTTTGTCTTCTCTGGTTACCTAAATTACAAAAACAGGTAAAAAAAATCAGGTAAAACTGCAGTTGTAGTATCTATACTCCCAAATCAGCATTTGGGATAGTTTTTAAATATTTTATGACAATTTTCTTCCTGATATGAAGCACGTGCTTTCCATGCTTGGCCTGTCAAGCCAGTTCTGACCCTGCTGTGCAGCTCATGGCTGTGTGGCTAGCCCAGAGCTAGCTGGCTTGCTAGGGTCATGTGGTACTGGAAGGCACTTCTTTCTACACTGATCACAGACTCATATAAGCACCCTGGCGTGCTTTTATATTTCTGAAGAAGACACAAGTGATCCAAGCCTCCACTTCCCCAAGTTCCATTTTCTTGGATCTTAGACTTAAAAAAATTTTGCTTGATTGAGAATAAAAAGAGACAGAAACACATACACACACACAGACACACACACACACAGAGTACACAAATGACCATGCCCATCCATCCACTGGTTTGCTCCTCAAATTGCCAAAACAGCCAGGGCTGAGCTTGGCTGAAGCTAGGAGTGATGAACTCAGTCCAAGTTTACCATGTGCATGGCAGAAACCCAACTACTTGAGCCATAAGTTGCTTCCCAGGGTGCACATGAACATGAAGTTGGAATCTCAGGAGCTGGAGCCAAGATTCAAACCCAGGTACTCTGATATGAAATGTAGATACCTTTAGTGCTAAACACCCATCACAGTCCTAAGTTGGTTTTTTTCCCTTCTAACCACAGTGAAAACAAAAGAAAAAATGGCCAGGAAAAGCTAGCAAGGAAGTGAATCTAGTCTGTTCCCTGGAACATTTTCTACTCTCAAAGGCAGGTGTAACTATGCTTCCTTCTCAAGCAGTTCAGGAAAGAAGGAAGCAGCAACCCAAGACTTCACTTTCAGTATGTGCGCTGCCAATAGTCAATCTAAAAAAAAAAAAAAAAAAAAGGAGAGGCAAAGAGAAAGATGAAAATCAGCACATAAAACAAGCTTATGATGCTGCTTTAGGAACAGCCAAGAAAGCTTGTACCCTTGACTTTCACAACGGGGATACCGGTAACATTTGCCTTCCCTAAACTCATTAGGGATTGTGGAGATGAAAACAAGGCAGCGTGGGAGAGTTGCTGGAGCTGGCAAGCTTGTGCAGGTACAAGTATTGACACAGCATGATAACCACTTCCCACAGGCAGACACTGGTGAAGGAGGAGTGACGCGGAGAGGGGGCAGGAGATCTATTCTTTCCTGGTCACCCCATTCTAAGCCACTATGATTCACAGGAGGAAGTGCCCAGCCCTGCCATGCCTCGCCCTGGCTGGCTGCCTGTGGTCCCACAGGAAGGCGTGTCCTGGGGTGCAGCAAGCCAGGAGGCAGCCAATCCGGGCCTCTCATTTCAGGATGGAGTGCAACACACTCACCTCTTTCCAGCACAGCCTCACTCTGAAAACCCACTCTCATACAGGCAATGGCTAGATCCAGTCAGCATCGGGGAATGCTGATTGGTCTTAGGGATCTTGCCTGACTTGGCTGTCTCTGAGAGACTCACAATCATAGCCACTGGTGGTCCTGAGCGGTGCTCTCCCCAGTAGTGAAGCTGTACACTAACGAGGCCGGTAAGCACAGCTCACACCGTGTAGACGCTACCCACTGAAAGCAGAAATGCATGGCCCTATGCTTGCACAACTCCTCCTTGAAGAGTCCAAGCATTATTTCCAGCAGCAGTTCTTAATTGCTTCAGGACACATGGGTAATGTCTGGAGATACCTTCAGTTGTCCCACCTGGGAGCTGCCACGGGCACTTGGTGGGTGAGGGTCGGCACTCTTGTTCAAACTCCTACACTGCACAGGACTGGCCCTGCAACGTCAGTCATGCGACGCAGAGGACTGAGGCTGAAGAACCCCCAAGGATAATACCATTATGTGTCTTGTAAAGTCAAAAAGCCCCTGGCATATATGTGTATCTGTGTGCATTCATAAAGCAAAGATGAATGTGCAAAAGAGGTACCCTGAGGAAAGATAAGAACCAGCCTTCACTGTTGAATTTATGAACCCCTTGAATGATTCTGAAAACAATAAATAGGTACTTGTAAGTCAGAAATGTATAAGTGTGGCTGGTGTAGCACAGCAAATTAAGCTACCACTTGAGACACGTGCATCTCACACCGGAGTCCTAGTTGCTCCACTTCCAATACAGCTCCATGCTAATGTCCCTGGGAAAGCAGTGGAAGACAGCCCAAGTGCTTAGGTCCCTGCCACTCGTGTCAGAGACCAAGATGGTGTTCTTGGTCCGTGGCTTTGGCCTGACCCAGACTTGACTATTGTGGCTATTTGGGGAGTGAACCAGCAGGTGAAAGAACACTCTCTCTTTCTCTGTCACTCCACCCTTCAAGTAAATAAAATCTTAAAAGAGAAAAGAAAGAAAACACTTGTAATTGGGGTTATGAAGGAAAAAAATTAAAGTTGCATGTCACTCACATAGTACACCTTGTCAAAACCAGCATCTTTCTGGAATACAAGGCCCTTTTCTTGCAGCAGTTGAATAGCATTCTTAAATATACTATGAATTGCCTTAGAAGTGGTATCCTTCTTACAATCCACCTGTAATGAAGAATAGAAAGGGGAAGAAAAGGAGAAATACATCCAACCTTGCAGTACTTAAGAAAACTCCCTAGACCAACCAGTCTGTGAATTCACCCACCAGGATCTCAATGTGCTGAGTCAAGAAGCTCTGAGCATGCAGCCCAGCAGGCTTGTGTTTGACCAGGGCTGGGAGACTGTTTGGACAGGATTTTGCTTGTGTTAACTGTTCCATACCTCAGTTATGAGTTTGCTTGCAATGATAATGATCAATGATAAGGAGTGGAAAATCAAAAAACTACCCTCACTGTTGGACAGCCTTCGATTTACTTCTTGCATGCAACACAAACACTGTACACATAAGAGCACCTTCCTTCATTATGACTGGGGCTATGTACAATCTCTTCTGAGGACTTGTTTCCTCTGAAGGAACCTGGGGTTTCCAGCATGCAGTAAGCTCTGTGCAATCTCTGTAACATAAGGGAGGCCAACAGCAGTGCTGACACAAGAGGAGGTGGGTGGCAAGGCTCAGTAGGTCCCAGAGAAGCAACAGCTCTGTGGCCACCACTGGGGTCCCTTTCCTTCTCCACAGATGGGAGTACTGGGGAGGGACTCCAGGTTATCCTGCCTCTTACTCAGAGGCCATTAGCTATGTCCTACATGGTGACATACAATGTGTGTTTCTGGAGCCAGGGACTTGGTCTTTGACCCTGGCCATCTCCTCCCTGGTACACAGCAAGTGACCAGTGAAATCTTTGTGAACTGAATACTCCTGTAGGGAGGCTATGCCCACTATTGTTGTTTATATCCCATCGGAGATTTCCTGTTCTAGCTCGAAACAAAGGACAACAACTGTCCTTCAAGATAGTCATAATTTTTTAAAGGGTAGTGATTTTTTTAAAAAGACTTATTTATTTTTATTACAGTCAGATATACAGAGAGGAGGAAAGACAGAGGAAAATCCTCTGTCTGGTGATTCACTCCCCAAGTGACTGCAACAGCTGGAGCTGAGCCGTCTAAAGCCAGGAGGCAGGAACTTCTTCTGGATCTCCCACATGGGTACAGCATCCCAAGGCTTTAGGCCATCTTTGACTGCTTTCCCAGGCCACAAGCAGGGAGCTCAATGGGAAGCGGGGCCTCTGAGACCAGAACCACTTCCCATATGGGATCCTGGCGCATTCAAGGGAAGGACTTTAGCCACGAGGCCACCTGGCCTGATAGTTATAATTTGACAGGAAAAATTTGCACATTCGGACAATACACCAATCAGAATCCATGAAACACAGCCAAGTATTTGCATCAAAGTCTTACCTATAGTGAGAGAGGCATACCCATAGGTGCCAGGAAACAGAACAGGGGGCTCAGACTCATAGCTAACATTTCTTCCAGGGGACAAAGAGAACAAAGGACCTTCTGGTGGTCTCAAGGGTTGACAATGGCACTCCTAGTGAAAACTTTTCTTTGCAGAAGTCCTTCTCCCAATCTTCACTCAACCATTTTATTAGTCTAAATAGATCCTAGTGCCACCGCACAGATGTGCTCTCCTGGGCTAAGGAGACCAGCAGTCTAACAATCCAAATTAAATGAAGTTTATGTTTTTCCTTAACACAACAAGCTGGAGGCTCTGATCACCCAGAGGTTATTAAGGTCTAAGAGAAGGCCAGAGTTTGTAGGGTGTGGCAGTGTCCACTCTTGAAAGACCGAAGGGGCTGAGAAGCCTGGGAGATGGTAGGCAGAGCCCTCTGAGTACGATCAGAACAAGCACCCCCCCCCCAAAGTCCTCAGCATGCATCCTCAGTCCTGGAGCCGAAGGCACAGCTGCTCTCCCCCAAGGGAGGTATAACCAGCCCTAGAGTTCTCCCCAGACCCAAGCAGGGCCTTGATGACCATCATTCTAGGGATGTTGGTTTTCTCTGGTCAACTAAACACAAGGATTCTAGGGTATGAGCTGACTACAAGACAGACACACATGGGAAATGAATTAGAGCTGATTTTAGACACTTCTCCCAGATTACCCAGACTAGGTTCCTGGGATTCAGGAAGAGAAGAGACTGGGCCTGGGGGATGAGAGGCACAGCTTCAGTTGTGAACAAGTAGTGCACAACGGTGGCCTCTCTGTAAACACAAACAATCACTGAAGGTTCCTTTGCACAAAGAGTGGCCTCTGCAAACCTTGGGGAACAATGTCTGGGCCTGGTTACTTACAAAGCCCAGTCACAAGGCCGACTTGTCATGGCCTCTTCTAGCCAGCCGCTTTTCCTGGTTTGGAATCTGGATCTTTCTTGTCTTTTTTTGAAAGAGTAACGACAGACTCATCTGATTCAGGAAACCAAAATTGTTCAAGGACAAAATCAGACTGGCTCAGCAGGCTGGGCCCTACCAAGCCTCTGCCAGGTCAGGCCAGGAACTGGGTGGAGCTCTGAAATATATATATAGTCTCCACTCCTGAAGAAACTCAGCATTCATCCAGCTGTCAGCAAAAACAATGGCTGTACAAGATCTGCTTATCATGTTTCTGGATTTGCTAAGAAGAGCCACTACAGAAAAAGAAAGGAGGGAGAACATTCCAACCCATTCTCTGGCCTTTAAGCTCTTAAAAGCATCACAATGCCTTGGTGAAGCTTTTATCTGCAGGACAACACAAAGTGCCACGGGATCTAGGGTGTCATCACCATTGTAAAGCATCTTTGGTTTCCCTGGGCTCTATTAAGTGGAATTCAACAACGGTCCCAACAGTGCAATGCAAGGGACTAATTCATAATTGATGGGAAAAATCCTTTCCAAAGACAAAATGAGTGCCAGAGTCATTCTTCTGAAGCCTAACAGGCTGTAGGCAGATAAGAGTTTGTGCTGTAAGCATTTTCTACACTTGTCATGCTAACACCTTTCCACCCACATGCCCCCCATCACAGTCATCCCAGAAGGGGGTTCTATAAGAATACAGTCTTCCAAACATGCTGAGAACCTCTCAGGCCCTGGGGGTCGGGTCATGTGCTTTCAAATCTTCACTAAATGATTAAATGGGAAAAGGTTAACCTTGCTGTCCCTGGACAGCTGGGGAGCCACACCTGCTTGAAGGTAATCTCAACAAATAATGAAGTGCTCGGTCATGACCCTCAGCACCTGGGTGTGTTCTGAAACCATATCCTTTGCCTCTCCATATGACATCCTGGTCACCTGGCCAAGGAGGCACAATTAGGTGTGGGCCAAAACTGAGAGGTAGCAGTGGTGTCTGGGGTCAGGATGGGAAGCTTGTGTCTGCTGAGCGAATGGCTGGCAAAGATGCAGCCACATAAGCAGCGTGGGGAGAGGCTGCTGAAACCCTCTGCGGTACCCACGAGAGAGGTGGCTCTGAGTGGCAGTCATGTGTGCCAGGGCAGTGACTGTGGCACACAGTCCTGGGAACACCCTGGTCTCCTGTAGGACTCCACAGCAGGCTTCAGTTGTTGTGAAAGGAGGTAGGGAATACAATGACTAACAGTCTCTGCACTCACAGGCTCTATCTAAAAGATATGCAAGACATTTAATAATGGTCTCCCCCCTTCTCTAGGGAGAGGGGAGCGAAGGGCAGGAAATTTAACTCCAGTGCTCCCTCACTCTGCCCCCTGCCACTTATTGGAAGCTTCGTTTTCTGTGGTTTCAGTTACCCATGGCCTGAAAATATTAAATGGAAAATTCCAGACATAAATAATTCATATACTTTACACTCTATGCTGTGTTGGGTACATGATGAAATCCTTTGCTGTCCTACTTCATCCCTTCCAACATGTGAATCATCCCTTTGTCCACCACGTTGAGGATGTGCACACTACCTGCCTCTCTAACCAATCAGCAGCCATCTTTGTTGTATGAGGTTCACTGTTATCCTCTGTATGAGATTCACAAGCACTCACTGGCAGTCTTGGAATAGAACCTACAGGTGACAGTGTGGAGAGCTGTACTGCGTACAACTACTGGCACCATTCCAATTTTCAAAATCCTTCATGCTATCAATCTACAACCTGCCTTGAGCCAGCACTGTCATAGGCCTTGAGCAGCAAGCAAAGAAAAGCAGACCTTTACTGTTTCAAACAGCAGAGGTAGGTCAACAAATGGACTCCAGTGACATCAGCTAGGACAACAGCTTGATGACACAGAGGACCTGAGTAGCCATCAGAACAGATGGTCAGGGAAGTAAGAAAGTGACATTTCAGCTGAGATGAACCCACAGTGGGATGAGGAACATAAATTTAAAAAATAACCAGGAACCACGTAAAGACAACAAACCTAAGAACTGTAATAAAAGTGAAAACCTAGAATCAGTCTCCACTCTTAATTTAAAGCAAATAAACAAACAAAGATAGTTTTTCCCAAGATAAATAAATATTCTTTAAAATCTGTACTTATAAACTACACCAGATACCGCTCAGGGCTCACTTCAGCTCCTAAAATGCAGCAAATGAACTTACTCTGAAGAAGAGAGCAAGCCAAAACTTTGGTCCAAGAACCATTCTTATAATCGATAAACAATCTTGGACAGATAATTATCTCCTTTCATTACTTCCCTCCACTGGGCTTCTGCTGACAGTCAATACCCTTTCAGTGAGCAACACCAACCAGGTGTTAGCAACATTAAGCCATAACTTTTTCTTTCTACTCAAAGATCAGCATAATGAGATTAAAGTCAGGAGGGGAAAAGGAAGGTTCAGTCTCATTTCAAATTCTTAGCATCCAGTAAGATTCCCTGAGCAGAAACAGCAAGTGATATAGCTCCCTGCTTCCACCCCTTGAGTCTTCATGCCACAGTCATGGTCACTCAAACCCTTCAGCTGAAGATTTGGGGTAGAAGAGCTGAACACTCCCCTGGGTATGCTGGACTCACTTGGTCAGGGCAGGTGCTGTGAATTACAGGCTGATTGGCAAGGGACATCAAAGACTCCACTGCTTCCAACTCCTGCTGGTAAAAGCTTGGCACTCTGTTCTCCTCGAGAAATTCTTTGACTTTTTCACTCAGCAAACATGTGAGATGGGCAAGATCCAGGGTGCTTGGATTGCTGCTGGAGGGAAGGTTGCAGAAAACCATCATTTTTGCTCTTTTCTGGCATACATAAGACAGAGACCCCCAAAATCGCAACATAATGCAAGTCCTTCAAAAAGTTCATGGAAAATGAAATTGAAAGGGAAGTTTTAGGGGGTGCCGGTTTGGTTTAGTGGTTAAGACACCTGCATCCTCTATCAAATTGTTTGGGTTCGATTCCTGACTCTAGCTCCTGATTTCAGCTTCCTGCCAATGCACACCCCGGGAGGTGGCGGTAACAGTCCAAGTAGTTGGGTTTCTGCCACCCAAATGGCAGATGGGATTTGGGTTCTCAGCATCTGACTTTGGCCAGGCCTACCCCAGCCACTGTGCACATTTGGGTGTAAACCAGCAGATATAAGTACTCTTCTCCCTCTCAGATAAGGATATTAAAAAAAAACCTTTTGAAACCATGCATTTCTTCCCATAGTGTGCATTTTCTATAAACTTTTTCAAGACCCCCTCATATACTGCTTTTATATATATGTATATATATATATATATACATACACACAAAGGGTGAGTCACTCAGTGAACATCATAGGATATTTTAAAATGCGAGGAAGAAATTGGGAACCAAAGATATGATTAAGAAAAAGTTAAACTGCAGAACAGCATTCAAGAAAAAGCAAACAACAGCCCATCACATGTCCAGGTGAATCTTCCCCTTGGGCACACGCTAAGAAATAGGTTTAAAAGGATGCACACTGGCCACTGGACAACTGCTGGGCAACAGCACCAAGCTGGGAGTCAGAAAAATGAAGGACTCCACTTCCTATTTTATAAGTCTGCACTTTTTCTCTTTTTTTTTTAATTTTAAAGATTTATTTATTTATTGGAAAGTCAGATATACAGAGAGGAGGAGAGACAGAGAGGAAGATCTTCTGTCCGATCATTCACTCCCCAAGTGAGCGCAACGGCCAATGCTATGCTGATCCAAAGCCAGGATCCAGGAACTTCTTCCGGGTCTCCCACATGGGTGCAGGGTCCCAAAGCTTTGGGCCGTCCTCGACTGCTTTCCCAGGCCACAAGCAGGGAGCTGGAAGGGAAGTGGAGCTGCCGGGATTAGAACCGGCGCCCATATGGGATTCCGGTGTGTTCAAGGCGAGGACTTTAGCCACTAGGCCACGGCGCCGGGCCCTTCTTTTTTTTTTAACAGTATTTTTAAAAAGTTAATTATCTGAATATGGATCTAATTCACGAACAAAAACATTTAGTCAGTGTCATACAATTCATTTTGACCGTTTTGATGTGAAGTTTGCTTTGCTCTCCTTTAAGATTCCATTTTGCAATAAACATTTTGACAATAAAACAAAAGGGGGCTGGGAGGAACCAGGTACTCGATCTAGCAGTTAAGATGCTGCCTCACACACTGGAGCTCCTGAGACTGATTTCAGGCTCGGCTCCTGATTCCAGTGCGTTGCTAACACAGATCCCGGCAGGCAGCAGGTGACAACTTAGGTGCCTGGAATATTTTACCCACATGGAAGACCTGAATTGAGTTTCTGGCTCTAGTCTCTGGCCTGGCCCAGCCCTGGCCTTCTCAGGCATTTGGGTAGTGAACCAATACTCTTGCTTTGCCTCTGTCTCTCTATAAGAAAAGAAAAGACATACAAAAACATCTCCTCTCACTTGTCTTCCCCATCCTATCTTTCCAGGCCCTACTCCTGTTTTGTCACGTATGGACCAGCAAATATGCATACATTCTTATTCCTTTTGGGTGGTTTTCTCCCTCTACAAAAAAGGAGTAAAATATCTTTGGTTGACATGAAATACCTGCTCAATTTTCTAAAAGCAGGCTTTTGGTGATGGTGTGGTATAGTGGTATATAATTGTGCTGCATTCTACAGGAATTTCAGGTTTCCTGCCTTAGGGATCTGTTGAGCTTCCTGTATCTGAATTTATAGCTTTTATCAAACTTGGAAAAAATTACAGCCATTATTTCCTCTAGTACTTTTTCTACTCCCCATTCACTCCCTCAGTGACTCCAGTTCCACAACCCTGTACTATCTTCACTTTACAAAGAAACGGGTTCACAGAGCTTCACAGGTTCTGCAGAGGACTTGTCCAGAACACCCCCACATTGTAAACAGATGATTCAGGATTAACAACCAGGCCAACCCCACCACCTGGGCTGTAGCCTGTCCTGCTGCAGTCTCCCTTCTGATGAGGTAACTTACTTCAGGGTCTCTTCTTTCTCCAGGGCTGGGATATGAAAAGGCTGGTCATAGACTCTCCTGTAGATATTGGGCAGTTCCTGCATCCTGCAGATCTGAATGCTCCACATTGGGTCGTCTATCTTATCTGACAAGACACCGGGGAAAAATAACACTGAGGCCAGTTCTTTTCCACAACCAGATTGCCCCTGAGATAAGAGTAAATGAGGTACTTGCTGGTGGATCTGCCTCCTTGTGGATGTACCCAGGGTTTCCATCATGCATGAAGACAGAGGGTAGCACCTATAGCATCACCGGTGTGGGATGGGCAGATGGGGACCTGGAGAGCTCACAATGTTGTAACCTCTCCTTAAGATTCCCATCTGAAAACAAGCCAGCAAGGTATACAGGGAGGATGGGGCTGTATGGTTCTTTTTTGATTTGATGGCTTCATTTAAAGCTAATGGACTCGATAGTGCTCCTGAAGTTTCCATCACTCTAAAAAATATGGACACAGCCTAAGAGACTGAGATTTGGAATGTCAAGTCTCATGGTAACTGGAAATTAGCATGCTGTCCAAATCAACTTGCTCTATTTAGTAAATAATTAACTTTCTTCAATTTTTTGAGAACTACGTCTCATCGAAATAAAACAAAGAAATAAGGTTTTCTGAAGAAAATACATTACACCACATAATTTTTCCTATTATCTTATTTGAACTTTTTACAAGTTTGACTTTGAGCTAAACAAGAGTTCACGGACACACACCCAGAACACCAAAGTAGCAGAAACATCCATGCTTACAATAGGTAGTGGCATGAATTTCTCGTTCTTCCCGGTATATGCGAACATTGCCTCTGACTTGGACAACATCTCCAATTTCTATCTTGGTTTTCTGCTCAATGGTCTCTTGCAGCTTCTTAAACTGCGAGGTTAAGCTTAGCTCTCGTGCAGCACTTGGAGCAGCTTGAGCTGTCAGGGCCAAGAGGAAAGACAGAAACTATTCCATACTGCTGAGAGAGCCTCAGGATCAAGACCCACACAATACATTTATTTCCCTTTTGATTCTCTGTTCAACAACAGGAAATCCATGTAACCTCCTGAAATCCTCTGCTAAGTAAAAGGTAGAAGCTGTAATTATTTAGAAGTAGAGTTAAGAGAACAGAGTGTAGACTGAGGCCAAGTGGGCAAGTCCCAATGTGGATCTAAGTACTTCTATCCTACCCCTGCAGCACCAATGCAGAGACCCCCAAGTCCTGAGTAGAATCCTTCAGAACATGTGGTGGTAGAAGGTCTAAACAATAACTCTTTGAAATTTCCTTGCAATGAAGCTAGAACCACCTCATATCTTGGCTAGACTCTCATGGCTGGGAAGGACCCAAGCTAATCTCTCTTTTTCACACACACACACACCCCTCTCATACTATCTACAACTGTAAACTAATATGACTACATGGTGAAAAGAACCCATGCACATTCCATTCTAAATAACTTTCATCACTCAATTTCAATTCCAAGTTGTGTAAGTTAAATAGCCATGATGGCAGGTGTGTGGCACAGCAGTTGAGGTGCTGCTTGGGATGCACCCATCACATGTGAGGGTGCACTGGTTCTGCTTCCAATGCAGCAGCCCATCGACGTGTACCCCAGAGAGCAACAGAAAACAGCTCATGGATCCCTGCTATGCACGGGGGAGATTAGGACTGACTGCCCAGCTCCTGGCTTTGGACTAGCATAGCCCTGGCTATTCTGGACATTTGGAGACTGAACCAGCAACTGGAAGATCTCTTTTCATCTGTGTCTCCCCACCTTTCAAACAAAGAAAGAATAAAGAAAGAAAAAAGGAAAAAAAAAATAGAATAGTCATGGAAGTTTGGATGCAACAGGTACTGAGGACTGCAGAGGGCACTGGCATGGTAAATCCTTACAGTCCAGTTACGCCTATTTATTTTGAGTTATCTGTTACAGATGAGGAAATCAAGTCACGGAGAGGTCAAGCAATAAAGCTACTGCCTGATGGCCAGGTCATGTGACCACAGAGCCTTCCTATCTTACCTTCTGTTCTCTGTAGCCTGCTCCAACAGGAGGCCTGTGTCTTTCACTGTTCAGTTGTAGCTGGAACATGTAACACATTCTTATTCCAAATATACATACATACTCACAGAATCTGTATAGCTCAGCACCAGGGACAGGACATTCTGTCCTGTAACTATGCCACTGCTTGCTTAGCAAGTCTCACTAAATCTACCCTCCCCTTTTTTGTTTCATTTTGGTTTTTTATCACCAGTACCACATGAGACACTATACTATGGAGGTCAGAATTTGGGTACTGAAGTCACAAGCATGGCATGAATCTCAGTTTATCTTCCACTGGTGGGGTGATCTTGGACAGACTACTGAACTTCCCTAATATGTATGCCTCATTTCCACTCTCTTTTTAAAAAAGACTTATTTATGTGAGAGAGTTACACAGAAAGAGACATACAGAGAGAAAGAGATCTTTCACCTGCTGGATCACTCCCCAAATGGCTGCAACAGTCAGGGATGGACCAGGGGGAACCCAGGAGCCAGGAGTTTCATCCAGGTCTCCCACACGGCACTTAGGCTGTCTTCTGCTGCTTTCCCAGGTACAATAGTAGGGAGCTAGATTAGAAACGGAACAGCCAGGACTTTCAGTGGCATCCACAAATGATGCCTGCACAGCAGATAGCAGCCTAATACTCAGTGCCACAGCCACAGCCTCTCCTTTCTACCCTTAAACTTCCATTTCCTTAGTTACAAAATGGATATAAACAGCAATTATATGTGACACAATGCAACCCTGACATAAATTTAGCACAAACACAAAACAGAGAAAACACTCAGGGCACATAGTCTTGGTGATGAAGAACGATGAAGCTTTCTGGACAAATTTATTGTGCTTTCTTTGTTTTTCATTAAGTATCATTGGACACAGGACCAAATTGCCACCCATTCATATTAACCCTGAATGTAAATGGAATAAACTCATTAATCAAACATCACAGATAAGTAGACTGGATTAAAAAACAAAACCCATCCATTTGTTGCCTACAGGAGACATATCTCACCAACAAAGATCAGCGGAAACTATATCTCATGGATTTTAATTTTTTTTTTAGTTGCAGTTCTTCAAAACACTTTTTTTTCTCATTAAATTCTTCACTAACCCATTGATCATACAGCAGCATCATTTTCTTCAAGAAGACTCTTGATTTTCTTTTTCAGTTTCTTCAACGACACATTAATCATTCAGTATTATGTTATTTAACTTCATGGTGCTTTTAATTTCTTCTTTTCTTCCTATTGTTGATTTTGTATTGTGGCTTTTCATTTAAGGGGATGTACAGTAATTGTATAATGGAGACTATCATATCCAGCAGCATGTTATTTAATTTCATGGCATTATAAATTTCTATTTTCTTCCTGTTGTTGATTCTGTATTGTTACTTTCATTTAAGGGCATGTACAGTAACTTTATAATGAAGACTATCATATCCAGATGTGAGGATACAATGCAGTATGCATCTCTACTTCCAGATCAAAGAAAGACTCCCAATGAAACTGTTAACTATGTATTGACAATAGGATGCTGAACTCTCTACCATTGTCCATGCCCATAATGATGGATATATGACTGCCTATGAAGCATTGCACTATAGTAATAATATAGGGGAACTCAGTGGAAGGGAGAAGGGACTTGGAAAGGGAGTAAGGGAAATCCCAGGGCCTATGGACCTGTACCACAAAATCATCATCATCATCATCATCATCATCAAAATGCTGTTACCAAAAAAAAAGTATGATTGGACAAAAAGCTATGGTCCTGGCACGGAGCCTAGTGGCTAAAGTTATCTCCTTGCATGTTCTGGGATCCCATATGGGAGAGACCCAGAAGAAGCTCTAGGATCTGGCTTCAGATCAACTCAGTTCCAGCCACTGCAGCCACTTGGGGAGTGAATCAATCAATGGAAGATCTTCCTCTGTCTCTCCTTCTCTTCGTAAATCTGACTTTCCAATAAAATAAATAAATATTTTTTTTAAAAAAAAAGTAAAAATGGGTTTAAGTATGGTTCATTACATACTACTAGAATGTCTGCCCATAAAAAAAAATCAAACCACCCTGTTTTCACATGATGGCATCAGCAATGCAGATGGCAGTCCTAACGCACAGGGCCATTGGGATCTGCTGGGATAGCCTCACACCTCTTACACAAGCTGCAGTCAATGGGATTTTTGGATTTCTTAACACCTACATGATGATTACACAAATTTTGCTTCTAAACTGCAAGAAATACAATACATTTTTGATAAGGTGATCTGATTTTTGCATTTCTTTATGGATAAATTCTCCATCCATTTCACCCTGTGTTTCTTTAAAATTTCAGACAGGGTAGCTTTCCATGCCTACTGCATATACTCTCCTCCTTTTACTGCTTTCTTTTTTTTAACTCTGATTTCTTTGTGTTGCATACAAGCTTGAAAAAAGTTGTTTCCTGGGTCTAGCGTGGTGGCCTAGTGGCTAAAGTCCTTGCCTTGAACATGCCGGGATTCCATATGGGCACCAGTTCTAATCTCACCAGCTCTACTTCCCATCCTGCTCCCTGCTTGTGGCCTGAGAAAACAGTCGAGGACAGCCCAAAACCTTGGGACCCTGCACCCACGTGGGAGACCTGGAGGAAGTTTCTGGCTCCTGGTTTCGGATGGGCACAGCACTGGCTGTTGTGGTCACTTAGGGAGTGAATCATCGGACAGAAGATCTTCTCTTTCTCTCCTCCTCTCCGTATATTTGACTTTGTAATAAAAATAGAATAAATCTTTAAAAAAATAAGTTGCTTTCTGAGTGTATCTCCTTGTCACTGGTGATAGCTGTTAAGGGTCTAGTAGCTAGCTAGGGAATGACGACAGTGAAATGTATTTGTAAGATAAACACACAACCCTAACTTCTGTGGGTTATTTTATGTAACCTGCAAGACAGGAGCCACAATCAACTCTTTTTTCAAAATGCTACCATGCGTTTGAAACAACAGCATTCACCAAGTGCTGTATTCTTCCCTATAGTTGTTTAAAATAATTTTCCACAATGGAATGAATCTCTTTTGGACCACTGCTCTTTTAAAAAAACATTTTTACTTTTTATTTGTGTATACGTGAAAGGTAAAAAGAGAGAGATACAGAGATCTTCCATTTGGTGATTTATCCTCCAAATGAATCTTTCACAACAGCTGGGGCTAGGTCAGGCCAAAGCCACCAGCCTAGAAGCCAGTCCAGGTCTCATAAGCAGGTGGCTGGGATGCAAGCACTTGAGCCATTGCTTGCTGCCTCCCAGGGTGTGCATCAGCCAGGAGGTAGAATCAGAAGCAGAGCTGGGACCCAGGTATTCTGATATGGTGTCTGAGCATCTCACACAGCATCTTCATCATGCACCAGACAACTGCCCATTGGTTCTGCACTGTGCAGAGGCATTATAATTTCTACCAGCACATCTGCTGTATGTAGGGAGATGAGCATACAGAGAGCCTAAGCTTGCCTGTGAGGTAACAAGTATCTAGGAAACTAGACACAGCAGATAAAAATGCTGCTCAGATCATTGGTGCCTTCTTCAGAAAATTCCCAACCTTTCTATAAGGTTGTCTCACCTTTGTCTCCATCCCTATGTATTCTTTAACTTAGGCTGAGTTTTAAAGTTATTTGTTAATTTCATTGCCATTATGCAGACATTGCAGGTGTTAAGAAAATTTTCCTATAGCACCTTAAAAGTGACCAGATGAAGCTTAGTCAGAGTAAAAGAGGCCCAGCTTTCAAGTAAAAGGTGAACCAAACTGTTCAAGTTCAAGCTGTGTGATTTAATGAACAGAACGAGATGGCTGGAGCCAGAAAGAACTTCATTTTAAGTAGTCTATTCCATCACGACCACTAATCACTGTTAAAATTCTAATACTAAGAGCCAAGCTTTCAAACTCTGCTCATAAATTAAGCCCAAACGGTACATTCAGTGTGACACTGTTAACATCATATCCTTAGACTTTGAATGGAACATGATTTTGACTCAGGCCAAATTTTGTTTAAAAAAAATTTAGTCTTCATTGGCCGCTTCCCAATGGAAAGCTTTTAAATCGAGGGTAATTAAGTTAAAGGGAGCAAATGGGCTAGTTGGGAGCAATTTAAGAACATCTTTTCACATATAACACAGAATGGGAGGCATGTTTAGGGTTCCTTCTGTACACAGACCTTCTCTGTGTATTTGCAAAGGCACTTTCAAATTCAGGCTGCCCACTGGGACTGCTCTTCTATTAATCTACTTACTGATGTTTTTAAGCTCACTGTCAGTATTAATAATCATTTTCATTGAACTTAAAAATTTATGGAATTATGTAATAATTCTGATGATGTGATTTCTTAAAGAGCTAGTTTTGAGAAATTAAATAATGCCTGGGCCCGGTGTGGTAGCTTAGTGACTAAAGTCCTTCCATGCACCAGGATCCCATATGGGCGCCAGTTCCTGTCCTGGCTGCTCCACTTCCCATCCAGCTCCCTGCTGTGGCCTGGGAAAGCAGAGGATGTCCCAAGGTCCTTGGACCCTACACCCAGGTGGGAGACCCAGAAAAAGCTCTTGATCAACTCATCTCTGGCCATTGAAGTCACGTGGGAAGAGAACCAGTGAATGTCAGATCTTTCTGTCTCTCCTTCTCTCTGTAAATCTGACTTTCATATAAAAATAATAAATCCTTATAAAAAAAAAGCAAAATGACACAGAGATCTGAGAACCACAGCCCATGGGTCAAATACACCGAAAATAAACCTGCACAGTTGAACCAGATCTACTGAGGAAGATCATAACCAACACAGGAATCTACAACTGATTTTAATTCTGATAAGGTATGAATTTTTTCCCCAAAGAGATATTTATTTAAAACACACACAGAAAGAGAGAGAGAGAGCAATTTTCCATCAGCTGGTTCACTTCCCAAATGGCTGTAATGGCTGGAGGCTGGACAGGCCAAAGCCAGAAGTCTGGAACTCTAATTTGGTCTCCCATGTGGGTAACAGGGGACCTATCACTTGGGCCTTCTTTCATTGCTTTCCCATGCACATTAGCAGAAAGTTGGACTGGAAGTGGAGCAGAAGGAACTTGAACCTACGTCCATATAGGAGGCTAGTAATATACAACCCACTGTGCCACAATGCCAGCCCTAATGAAAGTATTTTTTTAAAAAATTTGAATTTTAGGATAATTCCATAGCATCTGGGATTTCCCTGCCCCTCCCTAAATTCTCAGCTCTCCCACAACTGATTTATTAAAGTATTTTTGTGTCCTGGTGGAGGCCTACACTGTGGCATGGTAAGTAAAGCCACTGTCTGCAACATGAGCATTTCACTTAATGGCTCAGTTGTTCCACATTCAATGCAACTCCTTCCTGCAGAAGATGCTCCAAATGCCTGTGGCCCTGTCACCCACATGAGTGACCTAGTTGAAGTTTCTGGCTCCTGATTTGAGCCTTGCTTAGTCCTAAATGCTGCTCTCGTACTGGGAGTAAACCAGCAAACGGAAGATCTCTTTTTCTTCCTTTCTGTAACCCTACCTTTCAAAACCAGAAAAATCAAAACAAACACTAACTAAAAGACCACTCACACAATAAAACCTGAATCCCCATGGCAATTGAGTTGAGAGATGGGACCCAACGGGAGGTATGTGGATGAACATCACTAGGCAAAGTGCTTAAAGAGTGTGCTGCAGCCTCACTGTCCCAGGAAGGAAGAATATGGATATGTAGCATTCAAGGTGTCAACCTGAAAGTGGAGAACAGCCCTCACCAGTAACCATACTTGCTGGTACCTGGATCTGGGACTTCCTAGAATCCATAACTATGAACAACTTCGATTCTGTATCAGTTATCCAGTCTTAAGTACTCTTGATAATAGCACAACACAAACACCCTACACATCTCTGAAAACCACGATCACTGATTCTTTATAGGCTTAGTTCTCTATTGTCAGTGAGATATCTGCTAAAAAATAAAAAACCTGTTGTCTCTCTGGAATTTATCTACAAAGCTTCCTAAGCAAAACAGTGCCATGAGCTAGATGTTCCCAAATTGGGAATGGGAATGAGTAACTAGTGACATGAAACTGATGGTCAAATTCTAAACTCCATTTGAAAAAATACTCAACAATTATTCAGATACATTTAGCTAACTCCAAATGTTGCTTCAGTTACAGCCAATGTGCGGGATAGGTACAACTGGAAGGTTCTTTTTCAGTTTACATTACTTAATGACTAACTTCCAAAGGAATCCTCTTACCTCCTTTTCATTTATAGAATCACTGGTATTTGCTTGAAAATATTACAGTTTAGAAAATGAAGTCCGTGGTAACCATGTGAGAGGAGCAGCCTTCAAAAACTTTCTTTGGGTCACAGATTCAAATATGACTGGTAATTAGACTAAACCATCGCAACTTAGGTAATCAGTGTCATGGTAAAAACAAAGTTCACCAAGAGGCAACAAATAGCAAAGCAACAGGCTCCCTTGAAATGGCTCTCAGATGGCCAAGTTCTCAGTTCTCAGTACACCACCTTACTCCAATCAATGCAATTTACATGTAGATAAATGTGAAAACTGGGCCCCTGAGGCCAATCTGATAAGCATCCTTGAGTAAAACCCATTGGTTAGGGAGGAAGCGAAGAACACAACACACACAGATACCTGGAGAGGACTCAGTACTACGCGACTTTTTCCAACAAATGCAGTTGATAACTCCAGTGCTATCATCCACTGTAAAAAAAAAAAAAGCACAGAAGGGGAGAAGGCAGATTTGAACATAGATGGTAAATTTGCTTGTCATCACTGCCTCACACATATTGGAAGATGAATTTTTCTACAGTTTATATAAATTTTTCTATATAGTTTCTTTATCAAAACCCTTTCTTTAGAAACAATCTCTCCCCACACCCCAATATGAACTGCTTGCCAGCACGTGTCAGTATGATTACATAAGCCCAGTGGTGTGTATTCAACATTCACTTAACTGACCTCAACAATGACTCCTGACTATGGTTGTCTGCTAAAAATGGTGTCCTTGACCTGAGAGAGGAGCTTGGGAAACCTCTTTGTCAGGTCTGGAAATGCCAAAACCTATGGAAATGTATAAAACAGTTTTTTTTTTTTAAATGCATGTTATAAACTGGTAGATATAATACAAACTCAATTTTTTAACTCATTAATATATAAAGAGCTTATACAAATTAATAAAAAGTAAGAGCCAGTTTCTATCCCAGCTGCTTCACTTCCCTTCCAGCTCCATGCTTGTGGCCTGGGAAAGCAGTGAAACACAGCCCAAACCCCTGGGACCCTGCACCTGTGTGGGAGACCCAAAAGTAGTTCCTGGCTCTTGGCCTCAGATCAGCTCAGTTCTAGCTGTTGCAGCCACCTGGGGAGTGAACCAGTGGGTGGGACATCTTTCTCTTTGTCTCTCCTTCTCTCTGTAAATCTGACTTTCCAATAAATCTTTTTTTTAAAAAAATGATATTGCTAGGTATTCCACTGCTTTGGCCAGTTAACAAGCTTCATTCAACACACTCAGTCTCCAAACATTAGCTTCCCACAATTCTAGGCCTGAGCTCAAGTTGCAGCCAGGTGCTCTGCACACCCTGAACAAGGCAATCAAACCCTGGCTTCCCTCTCCTGTCAGACTTTGAGGTCCAGCTGCTGGAATGCCCTGGAAGACAAACATGCTTCTTGGCTGGGTAGTACCATCTGGGCTGCAGCCTTCTCTCAGCTGTGGGACAAGTCAGAGTGGGCAGGAAGCACTCCCCAATTCAGTCCGGCAGAGAGTCACGGGGAGCAGGAATCAGGGGAGCAGGACCCAGGAGAGAAGGGAGAGGCCACCTGAAAGAGGGCCTAGGTCAACAACAGGGAGGGCAGTGGTTCTCTGCTTGAACAGATCATGCAGGATAAAGTCATAAAAACACCTCTCCTCTCAATTACTCCAACATTCACACACTGTTCATTTCCCACAAACTCACAGATGTGTCATGCCTTCCTGACACCCACTCGGCAGGAAATTCTTGGGGTAGAGTCTAACACATGGCCTTAGTCTTCTTAAAACGGAAGGTGCAGTGAATTGAAGACCCTTTGGGTCACAGGGCTAGTATCTGGTCTGGGCCCAAAGTCAGGACTAAAACCCTCAAACAGCCTAGGTTATTTGAGCTAAAAACAGGAAACAAAAAATCAGATGCAGCTGACTTGGTAAGTGGGCTAAAGGACTGGTTAAGTAAGGGGATGGGGAAAAGGAAGGCAGACAGCAAAATCAAATTCAGCTACATGAGGGACAGGCTGCTCTCTTTCGGATCCAGCATTCCCGTTAATGCTTCCTGGAAAGAAGTGGATAATGGCTCAAGTGCTTGGGTCCCACCCTTCACATGGAAGACCTGGGATCAAACTGACACTATAACATGGGAATGTAAGTCATTCCATTCAAATGAAAAGTGACAAAACTCAGTTTCCGTGAGACCTTCAGTCTTTAGCCTGGCCAAACTCTGGCTGTTGTGGAAACTTAGGGAGTGACCCACAGAAGGAAGCTCTCTCTCTGCCTATCAAAGAAATAAATAAATAATCTTAAACAAAACAAAAACCACAAGTTACACAAAACTTCAGAGCACTCTACAGCCAGTGAATAGGAAATGGGACTTATAATCCTGCATCTGTGGAAACCTGTCAAAGTTACTGGACAGTTCTCTGATGTACAAAGAGGAAAAAATATCTGTTCTTGACATTTCAAAATATTAAGGGGAGAATAACATGAAATTAGAATGTAAAAGTACTCTAAATGTTCCAAGAAACTACAATTTCATCACTGGTAATTGTAGAGGAAGTAACTACACACAGTACACTTGCCACAGCTTGGTTCACTGTAGAAACTTGGCAAATGTTTGCTGAATTGTCTTGAAAACAACAGGACCTGTATCTTTGATCAAATCAACACAAGGGATTCACTCTGCATGGTCTGACAACGTAATTTATTTCACACTTTTCAGGAGTACGCATTGACGCACTGGAGTGCAGTGATTAAGCCACTGGGAAACTACCTTCACATACCATCCAGCTTACAAGGAGCTCTCACAGAAACTGAGTTTTGTCACTTTTCACTTGAATGGAATGACTTACATTCCCATATTAGAGTGTCAATTTGATTCTGGGTACTATGTTTCTGACCACGATCCCTGTTACTGTATCCTGGCAGGCAGCTACTCACATGGGGCACCCAGAGTTCCAGGCTCCTCCCTTTGGTCTGGTATGGTCCTGGCTATTGTGGGCACTGGGGAATCAACCAACAGGTGAAAATCTATTTCTGTTGTTCTGCTTTTTAGGTAGGTAGAAATTCAAAAAGACATTAAAAAAATAAAAAGCTCTTCTAAAAAATATGCTAGGAAAATCAGAAGGCATGTCTTCTGTTAAGAAGACAATCGTCTTTCGAAAATTGAACACATGTTGAGGAAATACCATGGTTTGAATATCTAAGTTAAAAATCATGCCTGAGCCATGATGAAAGGTGCCTGGTTGCAAAGTTCAACTGCCTTCTCTATTTCTCGAAGTACAACAGAGTATAAATCCAAGGTAAACCACAAAAAGTGACAATGTCAAGCATAGCCAAAGTTTGAAATCCACTGTCGAGCTTCCCATAAAGTTTCTAGGTTGGCCTCTTAACCTCAGAAAGTCTTGAAGTTACACAAGGCCATGTATTAACATGCTTAAATCAAACTCCACAAGAAAATCAAGACCTGTTACATTAATATCCTATTTTTCTCTGGTGAGCAAAACACAGAAACCCTTCAACTAGTTTTCATCATAATGAAGGAGGAACATCTTCTGATATTTACCCTGCACAGGTTCCTGTCTTCTTACAGTCCACTTCAACATTAATCTGGCCTCTTTTGAAAGATATCACTCTAAACAAATAGTGCTACCCTGTGCTATTTTTAGCTGTGCCCTTGGGTATCAACTGCCTGACACGCTAATCAGCCAGCCTAGATGCCAGCTCTTATCTTTCACCTCCTAACTCTCCAGTACCTGTCGCTTCATGTTCCAACCCCATGTCCAACTCCGCACCCAGGCCCATGTGCAACTCCGTGTGGGGCTCCCACAGGGGCAAAGTGCACAGGCTCTGTGCAGACCCTCAACTACTCTGAAAGGCAGAGGCTGCTTAAAAATCAACCTTCAGCTGAGTGGGACCTTCAGCATACATTCAAACTCAGACACAACTGTTCTTACCTCCATAACTGTAGAAGCTATCTTTTTCTCTCTTTTCAATGACAGTTCCCAAGATATCTACTTGTTTTATTGGATGTCCATTGTAGAAAAAAACACCTAAAATTTAAAACAAGACAGCAAAGTCACTCATATTATCTATAGTCATATTTTCTGCTTCATTAAATGTTAATTGTTTATATGTGGTGGAGGGTAAAGGTAAAAAATAAGTGGTCTGTTTTTTGCTTAGATTCCTGCCCCAAGAAACCTTCATGGCTTTCCCACAAGGGTCATAATTAGAAAGCTCAGCTGGGGCTAGCATTGTGGTCTAACAAGTAAAGCCGCCACCTACAATGCTGGCATCCCACATGGATGCTGGTTTGTGTCCCAGCTGCTTGTTTCCAGTTCAAATCCCTGCTAGTGCCATGGGCAAAGTAGTGAAGGATGGCCAGAGGGAGACTTGGAAGAAACTCCTGGCTTTTGCAACTCCAGGTTGTGGCAGCCATCTGGGGAATGAACCAGCAGATAGAAGACCTCTTTCCCTTCCCATCTTTACAACTCTTTCAAATTAAAAAAAAACCTTAAAAAATAACGTTTAGTTTAGTCATAGTTGCCAGGGGCCAACTGGCATCCCTTATCAGACAGAGTACCAGTTTGAGCCCCAGCTCCTCTGCTTCTGTTCCAGTTCCCTGCTATTAACATGTCTGGAAAGACAGCGGAAGATGATCCAGACCCCAATGGAGTTCCCAGCTCCTGGTTCAGTCTAACCCAATTCTGACTGCTATGACCACGCAAAGTAGCAAGAACCTTAGCCACTAAGCTACTGTGCCAGGTCCACATTTTTTTTTTTTAAAGCAGGACATACTAAGGTTACAAAATACTCTCCAAGGTGAAGGGATCACAACTTGAAATCTTCTCTTTCAAAACTGTTGGGGGGTACTTAGAAAAATCATTAAAAATAATTAAAAATAGAATGTATGTTTATTGTGAGGCCAAAAAAAAAAAAAACATTTGAAACCCATGCAGTTTTTCATCATGCACATTTTCCAACTTTTTGAAGACCTCTCATATACTAAAAACCTGGACTATAACTGCTGGCAGGCAAGTTCTAGCCAGCACAGAAACCAGAGAGAGAAAATCACCTGACACTTACACACTTTTCCCTAACCTGGGGACAGGACAGAGGTAGAGGGACTCCTGAGGGTGGCCAGTCCCTCACCCCACACAGTGGTCTCAGGGCTACCTGGCTTTTCCCCCACAAAAGCTATACATTTTACTTTTTCTTTTCAGTTTTTATTTTTCATGATACAATTCCACAGGCTCAGGGACTTCCCCTTCCCCCCTTCCAAAACTCCCCCTCTCCCTCCCTAACTTCCCCTATATTACTACAATAGTGTAGATTCTTTAAACACAATCACAAATCCATCACGCTGCTACTTAAGTGTATCATGACATTATAGGTACAGACAATGGTAGAACATCCAGCATCCTATTGTCAACATACATTTAACAGTTTCACCAGGAGTCCATCTCACATTTTACTTTCCAAAACAGGTGAACTGTTAAATGATGCCTTTTCTACATAAACATATGACTCACAAACAAAGAATGTTTATGTCAGGTACCTAGCCACTCTCCTTTGCTGGACTCTCCTCTCCTATCCCAAGCCTAGTCTCAACTCGTTTTCTATCGCTCCAGAGGCCTGTGGCCTGAACCCTCACACCTCTCAGGACCCCAGAACGGCTTCTGTTGATGTTCTCCTTTCCTCCAACAGACAGGGGGTCTGGGGATGAATCACTCTTACTCCGCCAGTGAGGTTATCAGGAGCCATGCAACCAGAAGGAATTAAAGGTGGCAACTTTAATCAAAAGTAGGACTCTTTCCCTTGGGACAGCAACGTATCCAAAGACTTGGAGGATGGGAAACTGTCTCCAGAGCAATCATGATGGCTCCCAGCAGAACATCCCAACATCACATAGTCCGGAAACCTGGATCAATGTCACCCCTAAAGATCAGGACAAACATGAATTTTTTCCCCAAAATATTCTCAATCCAAATTCGGGTGAATCTGCAAATGAAGAACTTACAGATAAGGACAGCCAACTGGTCATTGTTCCTATCTCACTGTGTCCATCAGAATAAGTATAAGTACTATACATTTTAAATCACAGACTCCGCATCATTTGCTCATCCTTAATGTTTGATATGATAGAGATGTTTAAAATAAAGACTGTTTCAATATGTTACAGGATGTCATTCTTACAAACTCAATTTTTATTAATGAAAAACAAAACAAACAACAAATCAAATCTAAACCACTACTTTGGAACCAGCCATGTGGTGTAGCTTGTAAAGCCACTGCCTGAGACAATGGCATCCCATAACGGCACTGGCTGGAGTCCCAGTTCCTCCAACTGAGCTCTCTGTTAATGGTCTGGAGAAGCAGCGGAAGACGGCACAAGTGCTTATGCCTCTGCCATCCAGATGGAAGACCTGGAAGAAGTTCCTGACTCTTGGCTCTGGCCTGGACATGGCAGCCATCTGGGCAGTGATGGAAGACCTGCAGATGGAAGACCTATCTTTCTCTCTCTGTAACTCTTCCGCAAAATCACATAAATAGATAAATCATAAAAACAAACAAAAATAACCCACCACTACTCTAATAAATCTTCACAATATTTTTATTAGTTTAACTACAAATTAAGTCAGAGCAGTTGAATTCTGACAGTACCTACCTAGATAGATCAAATATAACATTACAGGTATGGAATCCCATAAGACTACCCTCACTACAGTCCCCAGCCTCCTGACCACTTGCACTTCTGGCCAAATATAGGGGCTCCCACAACACCCTCAGGCCTGATAATTTTCTAGACCCATGGACAGAAGTTAGGAAGATGGTACATTTATTATTTGATAATAAAATGCATGAATCAGGACCAGCTAAGTGAATAGACAGCATACAGCAAGGCATACAGGGGTCCAAACAGGCAGCTTCCGCATCCTCAGGACATATCTGTGTCTGATGACCAATAGAGGAGCTCCTCCCAGCCTCAGCACCCAGAATTTTATTGGGGTTTCATAATGAAGGCATGATTAATTAAATCACTGGCCATATGACTGTGCTTCATCTGATGCCCTCCCAAGGGACTGGGCGGACAGGACCTGGCTCAAAACCCCAACCCTCTAATCATAAACTTGGTCTCTTTAGTACAAACAACTATCCTGAAACTCTTGAGGGCTCAGCATAACACACCCGATTAATGCAAACACAGGTGCAGCCCAAAAGGCCACTTAGACATCCCAATGATGTGGAGGTTATCTCCTGAGACCCAAGATGAAGGGTGCCTGGTATTTATAACATTTTTCACTCCAGTTTTGTCGGTTTTTAGTATTAAGTTTTGCTATTTTTCCAACCTTTTTTATTCTAATGAACAATTTTTGTTACTTAAACATTTATAAATTTTACATGATCAAAAGTTTTCTGTTTGGGGGCCGACATGATGGCTCAACTGGCACATCTACCTCCAAGTGCTAGCACCCCATATGGGTGCCAATTCATGCCCCAGCTGTACCACTTCCCATCCACTTTTCCTGCCTGTGGGAAAGCAGTAGAGGATGACCCAAAGCCTTGGGATCCTGGAAGAAGCTCCTGGCTTTGGATTGGCCCAGCTCCAGCCGTTGTGGCCATTTGCAGTCAACCAGGAGTAGAAGATCTTTCTCTCTGTCCCTCCTCTTTGTACATCTGCCTTTCCACTGAAAATATAAAAAAACTTTTAAAAATAGTTTTTTCTTCATGCTAAACCAAACCCAACAACAAACCATAAAGCTAGACTGCAGGCATTTCCTACCTCTCCCAACCCTCACAGCCAAGATTGCCCTATAAAATTATGGTTGGTGTCTGCTTGAGTCATGAAGCTTCATTTTAAAAGACACATCTGAAGCATTCTCATCAGTGACAAAACAAAGATCACCAGCACCAGCTTTCATCGGTTTGTTTTTCATCCACCGTAAAACCCTTCGCCCACAGGAAGCCCAAAGCCTCTGCCATGTCGCTAAATGCTTGCTTGCACATCCACAGATTTTTAAGCAAAGCTGGCATTTGGTGTGAATTAATGTCTTCCTGAGGAGATGAGCTGTGAAGAATTCCAGATTGTTCTGGAAAACAGAAAGGATAAAGTTGGCTGCCTTCCAGCGGGAGAAAAATCAGACCATTTTCAACAATAATTAGGAAATAAAGGTGTGGTGAAAAATCTGTACAAGAGGCTTCAGTGTAAGGTCATCCAAACACTTCTGTGCACATAACAGGAAACACACCAAGGCTCATCTCACGAAAACTCTGCACCCTGGAGATTCTCAGCGGCTTCTCTCCCATGCTGCTCTCCAGAAGGCCCTGGACTAGAAGGCTTCACTTAACAAGACGACGTGTTTAAAGAACGTCTCACACAGCACAACAAACCTGGAAAGACTCACCATGACAAGGCCAATTAATTCAAATCTATCCCAAACTATATTTGCTATAGTCTGGGGTATTATGAGTCATTTTTGGTTTTTTGGATTTTTTGTTTGTTTTTTAATTTTACATGAATGCTTTGTGGTTTCAATTACTTCTTCCTCCCACCCAGCCCTAAGAGGCAGGAAGAGGGCATTTAGGCAGGAAGAGGCTTTTAGGCCTTGGTTCCCTTGCTTATACGCCCTCATGACGGGTGAAGCCAGAGGCTGGGAAGTTAACCGAGTTCTGCATGAATGGCAGGTACTCCAATTACTTGAATCACTACAGATGCCTCCCAAGGTCAGGATGAGTAACAAGCTGGAATCAGGGGCTAGTGCTGTGGTGTGGCGGGTGGGGCTGCCACCTACAGTACCAGCATTCCATACGGGTTGCAGTCTCAAGTGCTTCACTTCCAATCCAGCTTTCTGCTAATGCACCTGGGAAAGCAGAAGATGGTCCAAGTACTTGGGCCCTTGTACCCACAGGGGAGACCCAGATGAAGCTCCTGCCTTCCAGTTAGCCTAGTCCTGGCTGCTACCGTCATTTGGGTAGTGAACCAGCAGATGGAGGATCTCTCTTTCTATCCTACCCTTTCCCTGTAGCTCTGCCTTTCAAATTAATAAAATATGATTTTTTTTAAAAAAAAGGGGGGGGGGAAGAAACTGTAGTCGGAGCTCTATAAAGAATCCAAGTACTGGGGCATAAGACTTGGTAAATAACAGCTGGTCTAAATGGCAATCCTAACTGCTATTTCTTGAGGGTTCACTCCACACTCCACACTGCAATGACAAGGTGCTGCAATTACAAAGGTGAACAAGACATAATATCCTTCCCTCCCAGAGAGTTGTCATTATTCTCACAACAAAACCACAGTGCCCCTCACCCCCACCTCCATCAATCAGGCTGGGTTAACCTCTACGTTTGTAAAGAAACCTAAGCTTTGCAGAAGGTGAGTCACTTGCTCAGGTCAAATAAGGGACACAGTTAGGCCTACCAGTGCCATGCCTCCTAACCCCAGGGGCAGGTCCAAAGATAAAAGGAACAGTTGTAAATTCCAAAGACCCACATACATTTGAAAATGTTCTTCTGCACAAAAACCCTAAGTATCTATTTTTTTCCAAAATGGCATAGGGATCCAACTAGATTATATCCAAAGTCTGCGACAGAAAAGGCTCTGGGAGAAGGATCTCAACTACAGCTGTCCCCAGCTTTGTGCCAGGGAGAGGTCTTGTACCTCAGCCAAGCCATCCCGCACTCTGTTCAGCCACATACCTGGCACCTGCTGGGATTCCTTCATGTCCAGGATATCCCTGATGTAGAGTCTGGCAAAGGCCAGAAACACAGGATCCAATCCCCACATGAGGGCAGGGGTCTCCTCTTCAACCGGGCTGGATTCAGACTGCACCGGGGCTGGGGCTGTTGGCATCCTGCCACCCTCGACAGGATCTATATCCATGGGCCAAGGTCTAGATGAGAGACACAAACATAAAAGCAAGGTGACTAACATGTGAAAAAAACTGTCTTGGCTAGATGCTGTTCATAGGAGGGCATCCTTAACATCCGGGTGGAGGATGGGGTCAATCCCGGGGAACCCTGGACCACTCAGACTCCACGCCTGGGGAAGGCGTTCCTTGTAGCAGGAACCCTGAGTTCCCTCATGCCTCTCCCATATTCCTCCCCCCACCCCCCTCCCAAATATTGGCTCAAGCCGGCTAAACGCCATCTTTTCTCATTGGAGAGACAGTGTGCATATAACACACTCTGATCCCAATTTAATGGGAAGGGTCCAAAGAGAAAGTAAGCCCTCCTGACCACGTATGTCTTGGGGGCATAAGAGACGGGTCTGGTCAACGCTCTGCCTTCGCACCTTCCGTTTTTGGAGGCAGCAGAGAAAATTTTTTAAAAAGAAGCTACAATGGACCTGAGCTGTTCCCTCGGCACTGGCACTCAGCCCAAGGCCAGCGGCTACCCCCGAGCACGAAAGCCCCGCCCTTCCGGCGCGCTCCCGGCAGCGGTCGCCTCTGGGCTTCCGGCGCGGCCCCACACCACCTCCTTCCCAAAGCCGGCGGCGCCTTTTCTTCCTACAGCCGGGCCTTTGTGAAGGTCCCGCCCACCCGTCCCAGCCGCGTCCTACCGCGTTCAGCTCCAGGCGGCGGGGGGCGGGGCTGCGCAGTGGACGATTGACATACTCCGCTGTCAGGCCACGCCCCCGCCCAGCCGGGAGCTCTGGCTCCTCGGCCCGGGCTCCTGCCGGGGACTCGCCTCAGAACCCGCCCGGAAATTACCTCAGGCCAAGCTCCCCACTGCCCGGGTCTCTTCTACTCCGGAGCCCAGATCTTCCAGAGGATGGGGCGAGATTATTCTTTTCATATTTAGTTCTTCACAAAGTAAAGAAACAATAGCAAAAGACAACCGTGAAAGCAAGAGTACTGGCGGCATATGTTAAATGCTGTCGTCTGAGGACCCACAGTTGCGCTCATGTTGGAGATAGTATTGGTATCTAAATTGAGGCCTTGAATGAAGCTGAGGGAGGAGGTGATCTGCTGGAAGCTAGCCCTGGGAGGTCCTCATAATGCACGTGTGTCCTTCATTACTTGGGCCACCAGGTACAGTGCTGGACACATTGAAAAGCGTGGGTAAGTCGTGGCGCCTTATCCGCAGCAGTCCTAATGTAAGGCGAGAGAGGGTAGCTGTGTTCCACTTGCACAGGTGGAGAAAGCACTTCGTGAGGTTGCAGGAGATGTGGCAGGAGTTCCCAGTTCACTGGGCTCTGCTGTGGCAGGGCACTAGTCCCCCCAGCAGGCCATTTCCAGGGAAGGCAGGTGGTAACCACAAAGATAATTACTAAACTATTTATCAGAGAAGGGGCTTAAAGCAACTAGAATGGAAAATGTGTGTCATTAGAGCCAAGGCATTTAATTACTTCCCTGGCCAGTGAAGAAGCTGAAAAACAAGAGTCCTAGGTCAGGTTCAACATCACCCAATTCTGCTGCAATGAAGCATTGTCTGTGGAGGGAAGACACCTCTCTAACAGGAAGGAGGTTCTGCTCCAGGACATAGCCCAGCAGCACAGCAGTTTCTGGCTGACCTGTTGGGTGGGGAGAGACAGGTTGGGTGACATTTTCCTGGCTCGCCCGGTGGAACCCAAGAAAGAAAAACTACAGTTGGGTGTGACAAGAGCCTAAACTGACTGCAGAAGGCGCTCGGGAGAGGAGCCTTGGGGACTCCAGCCTCCTGCTAGCCTTGAGGGAATCCCCACCTTACCCCATGTAAGCAGGACAAAATGTCTTTGTCATCATCTTAGAGAAAGGAGGACTCGGGAGTGGGAGAGTTGGGGGTGTGTGTGAGGGAGGGTGGGGTAAGTCTTCTGATCCTAGCCCTGAACTTGAAGGAATAGTTTGCAGGTGATAGCTAGGGTGAGATGTGAACAGGATTTCTGGACTACAGAAGCTTTTCGGGGAGTGTCAAGGCTCCCCTTCCCCTTGGTCTCCTTCACTGTAGTCTCCAGGCTCCCCAAGCCACTGCATGGGCTTGTGGGAAGGCACTTCTGAAACCTGCAGCCACACAGCTGGACTCTAGCTAGGGAGTCTTACCACACAGATGTCTCAAACCCCAGCACCTAATGTTAGCAATGCTTTTTTTTTTTCTTTTTGATAGTGAAGAAACTGGATGTTTTCTGCCTTTTGTAATTCCTCCCTTATTGGCTGGGGCCTGTGTGAACTCCAGGCCTGATAGTCGGCGTGACACCCGGCAAGACCTGGCAGGTCATGTAGGCAGAACACTCCTCAGGAAGGAGGTACCTGGTGTTAGATAAGATTCACCACCCTATAACCCACCAATAGAAGCCCACTAAATCATGACTGTATAATTAATAGCCTGAAATGTATAAGAACACTGGGCTGTTCAACCGGGGAGTGAGGGAGGGGCTCGGGCTCTCTCTCTTCCTTCTCTTTTACCCTCCCTGCTGATCCTGCAGCAGCCAGGACTGCGGCTGCCTCTCCCCGCCCAGACCTGCTGGGCTGGGGGAGGTGGCTGGGAGACCTGAATAAAGCTGAATAAACCGCCTTTCTGCCTTAGCACCAACTTCAGACTTGGTGATTTTCTGGGGATATCAAAATCCAATACAGTAGACAATCCTTTCTAGAAAGTCAAGATTTCAGCAAGTTTCTCTGGAAAGAGACAAACGTGGATGCATATCTTATACCTCAATACTTAAATTATCTTTTTTTAACCATTTTGACATCTCTGGAGGCATAGTGAGCTTTGTCCACTTGTAAATTGGGTTAGATTTTTTAAAATTAATTTTTAAATTTTATTTGAAAGGTGAATCTTCCATCCACAGGTTCCCTTTCCAAATGCCTGCAACAGCCAGGACTGGACTGGGCCAGACCGGAGTCAGAAACCTGGATCTCCCTCTGGGTGTCCTGCATGAGTGGCAGGGACCCTGGTACTTGAACGACGCATCACCTACTGCCTCTTGGGGTGCACATTAGTAGGAAGCTGGACCCAAAGCAGAGGAGCGAGGTCTTGCCAGGCAGTCCTATATTGGATGCAGGGGTCCCAAGCAGCAGCCCACCACTTTGTTGAATGCCTGTCCATGCATTAGATTTACTGTTCAAAGTTGATTGACAAAAACTCACTTCTTGATTAAACTCCCAGGCTCCCTTGAGTCTGTTTCACAACTAGACCTCAAGCATGGTTCATAAAGACTTAAACCAACACCAACACAGTGCCAGTTCAAGGTCATATCTCCAGGGTGACCTAGGTCTCTTAAAGTGCTTGCCTGAGGAAATTCTATTTTACCATAAGAACTTGCTGTTTGATTTAGCCAACACCTGAAAATAGGGCCCCCTAGTTCCCAGTATGTGTCCCAGGATAGGAACCCCACTTCCAGGCCTGGTGCCATGGCCTAAATGAGCAGCTAAAGCCCTCACCTTGAACACACCAGGATCCCATATGGGCACTGGTTCTAATCCTGGCTGCTCTACTTCCCATCCAGCTCACTGCTTGTGGCCTGGGAAAGCAGTTAAGGACAGCCCAAAGCCTTGGGACCCTGTACCTGTGTGGGAGACCTGGAGGAAGTTCGTGGCTCCTGGCTTCAGATCAGCGCAGGACCAGCCATTGTGGTTACTTGGGGAGTGAATCATGGGATGGAAGGTCTTCCTCTCTGTCTCTCCTCCTCTCTGAATATCTGTCTTTCCAATAAAAAGAAAATAAATATAAAAAAAATGAACCCCACTTCCATAATGAGCATCAGTGAGCAAACCCAGATGGGCTTCAAAGGGACCAACCTCTCTTTCCCATTTTTTGTAGCTTTCTATTTCCCTAATTCTGCTCAAGCCACTGCCATTCTTCTCCCTCTCATCCCTTATTTTCTCTGTAAAAGGCTCAGTTATCTCTAAGAATCTCAGTGGAAAAACTTTCCTAGAGTCAGCAGCTGTGGAGTAAGTCTGTTTTCATGAATGTCTGGCTGTGTTTATCTGTAACATAAGGGAAACAACCAGACATTCTTGTTGTGTTACTGGATCATACTGGGGCATGCCTTCACTACCCCAGCAGGGCTGCAGATCTCTCTGGTAGCTGTGGGATATGGAAGAGCACTAATTGTTGCAATGAAACAAAGCAGTGATGTGTGAAATAAATAGCAAAGTAAGAGTTTACTATGATTAAATACAGAATGTGTGACCTAGGTAATGACTGTTTGAGTGGAGGTAAATGGAGGAGCCTCAGTAACATAGTGAATGTCACTAATGAAATATGGTCAGTACTTAATACACAAAGCCAATGTTAGTGTTCATGCAGAGATGGGATTTTCATTGGGGTTTGAAGCTAGGGACATGTCAGAAAGAGATCTTCTATGCACTGATTCACTTCCTAAATGTAGGCAATAGCCAGGGCTTGGCCAAAATGAAGCCAGGAGCCTGGGACTCCATCCAGGTCTCCCATGTGGGTGGTAGGGATCCAAATCTTTGGGGCATCACCTTCTGCATCCAAGCATATGCATTAGCAACAATCTGGATTGCAAATACAACTAAAGTGTGAACCAGGTGCTCTGATAATGATATGTGGACATCCGAAGTAATGTCTTTAATTGCTCCACTGAAAGTCCATGTCATTACATATACTTTTAAAAATATTTATTTAATTTTTATTGTAAAGTCAGATATACAGAGAGGAGGAGAAACAGAGAGGAAGATCTTCCGTCCAGCGATTCACTCCCCAAGTGACCGCAATGGCCAGTGCTTGCCGATCTGAAGCCAGGAGCCACGAACTTCCTCCAGGTCTCCCATATGGTTGCAGGGTCCCAAGGCTTTCAGCCGTCCTTGATTGCTTTCCCAGGCCACTAGCAGTGAGCTGGGTGGGAAGTGGAGCAGCCAGGATTACACATATTTTTAAATTACTTGCCAGGCTCTGTTCTAGGCACCATGTATAAGACAAATGGAGTTCCAACTTTCATGAAGTTGCCATTCAGTTATGGAAAATAAACAAACAAAATAAGTACAGATTATTCTTGGTGTCTTGAAGGGAATAGCTATAGTATGTCTGCTCATGTATAGATGTTTACATAGATCTATTTTCATCAAATAAGATGAAGTGGCATTCAGGCTGAGACCTGAACGATAAGAAGGAGCCAGCCATGCAAAGAGCTAAGGAAGCTTCCAGGCAGCAGTTACAGCAAGGGGAAATGTCTGGAGGTAGGAAAGAACTCCCTGTTCAAGGACAGGAAAGAGAGACAGAGAGAGAGAGAGAGATTGGATTGGGAGAGCTGCTGCGTATGCAATTGGAGAACCTGGCAGAAGGCACATGCAAAGGACTTTGTAGGCCATGATAGATTGGGGATTTTATTCTTAGTGTCACTGTCCTAAAGAGGAATACAACACTCTGATGGAGTGGGAGCAAAGCAGCAGGAGGACCAAAAGTGTGCATCTGTGTATGTGTTGGGGGTGGGGAAAGCAAAGCAACATAGTAGCCTGGCTAAAGAGAATTCTTTGGAAGCCAGCTGAAGACTGAGGGTTTAGCTAGATTCTGA